CGTGTGGGAAGGCCGGGGAAAGAGCTGAGGCAGCCCTTGAAAATCAGATGAAAGAAACTGCTTTGTGGGAGCTTAGGGCCCGCCAAAGAGGTTGGAACAAAGATGCTGCAAAGAAAGCTAGAGCACTTTTTTAAATAGGATATATAGAGCCCCTTTGTTTCTCACACTAGCTCCTTCATTCTTCTATTTTTTATTTTTATTTTTTTCTTGTGGTTAATTACTTGATATATTGTTTAATGAAAAATAAATACACAAAGTTATTTTTGGTTTTACGTTAGATGAAGTAGTGTGTTCGGATTAGTTTTCAATTCTATCAAAATCAATTACAAAATCTCATTGAAGATTGAAGCAATAAATAGTTTAACTTTTTCAAATTTTCACCTGATTTTGAAGATCATAATTGATTCTAGGAGGTATCCAAATATACCTGTAATCTATTTCTCAAGTAAGCACTCAACCATTAAGTCTGCCCATGAATCTATAATCATCGATTTTTCTCCCTATTCACTTTGTCGTGAGCAGTTTATTTGTAACATCGGCCTATTATATCGGTGGTAGCTTTGAACCTTAACTTGCGTTCCATTGCCATTCATTGACAATATATGACAAACAATTTGCTTGTTGTCTTGTACTGAAAGAAAGTAGCCTTACATACATGTGTGTTTGTTTACATTTTTGTATTTGATTGCTATGACTATGAGAGGCAGAACCAAACACGCTGTAAATCGCAAACCTTCATTAATTGAAAAAGACATGAGTTACATTTTTAAAGACAAAGCAGCTAGAAAAAAGTCATATTCCTCTTTGAAGACAAGTCATCAAAGCTTGTGATATGTTGTTGATTTTCAGATGAGATTACTTACCGTTGTAAACTTTTTAATGTTAAGAAAGGAATTAGTTGGAAGCAGGACGACTGAGACTTGATATCATCAGATTCTTCAGCCGTATTTTTTAAACGAAAAAGATTAAGAAAATAAAAAATAAAAGAGAGAGACAGAGAGAGACAGAGTGAGAGAGAGAGAGAGAAGGAAAAGGGATTAATTAAAAATTTACATGGAATAAAGTAGATTACTTTAGTTAGAAAATCTCCACTTTAGTTAGGAATTCATGGGCTTGATTGGATTGGTCTAACCGAAATCAAAAATCTAAATTAATCATATTTAATCAAATTGGTTTGGTTTAGATTTTAGCTTCTTTTTTTTTTTTTTTTCTAGTATCAAACTAATCAGATTAAAATTAAGTTAATTTGGTTAGAGACATCAGATTATAATAAAAAAGATAATCATTACGTCGCTAGCAAGGCCTTCCTCTATCGGAGTTTGAGGGGCGAGGAGATACTAAAAAGATAAAATTTCCAGAAGTTACTAAAAAAATTATTTTTATATAATAACTTACTAATTCGTGTGTGTGATTATTGTTTTAAAATTGTGTATGATGTATAAGACTTCTCACTAAGCCACATAAAATGGTCCTATCAGCTCATAACATCCTTTCCGCAGCTAGTTTACCCTACCATTAACTAAGCACAGCCACAATATTTGTCTTCTAAATCTGTTTGTGAGGAGTATGCTGTATAGTAATCCCATCAAAATCTGTTTGCATGGAGTATGCCGATTGAAACATGTAGTAATCCCATTTGATGTCTGAACTCTGAAGTATGTCTAAGTAGGTCAGTGAGTAATCAGTATAGAGCTTCTTTGAAGAGAAGCGGAGGTCATGGTCATGGGGGAGTGGCTAAAAGTGCAGGGTGATCATTAACAACATCCTCGCTCAGCAAGCGCATTGCAGCTCCCTCAGAGAATTTCCTAGCAAACAAAAAGCATGGAACGGATGTGGAATTTCTGCGACACCATTCTATCCGGTACTCAGTTTCATAATAAACATGGTTGATGCCCTGTATAAAAAAAATAAAAATAAAAAAATAAAAAAAACGAGAGAAAAAACATAGCTGCATTAAAACATGTAATCACTTTAGCAAATACATAAGCCTTGAAATCTATCTTGGAGCAAAGAATTATTTTCCAGAATGTAGAAAAAGACAACAATCTTTCTTCATTATTTTCATTTATGGCCTTTATTCAAATCTCGTCATGAACAGTGGCAGTTTGGTTACTGATATGAATGTATCTTAATATAAGGATCAACACTAATTCAAGAAATTTCTATTTACTTGATTACTTCAATAATAGATTTCAACCATGCCAATTCTAACCCACACAATATGTGCCAGAGCAATAAAAGACATTAGAATATCATTAACTGAATTCTCGTTAAAAAAACCCTGATGAATTGCTGGATATTGAGCCTTCTCATTTGTCCACCCCAAAAATGGTTAAATATCTAAGCTTAAGTCAAGAATGAGGCATCAGAAGAAAACCTTTATTTCCTTTATCCTTTGAGGGCCAGCATTTGAATAGGTGAAAGTAAATGGATGCCAGCCTTTATTCTCCATTTTTGTTGCAGACTGGTTCCACAAGGTAAAGGTCAATGTTCTACGTTCAAGTTCACCTTCAAGGCCATGCATCTATAGAGAAGAGAAATGCATATTAAGATTATAAACGATATCCATGCAAATTAATCCTTGAAAAGTTATTGCACATCAATGACAGCATTTTATCAAGGTAATTTGTGAATAAAGCAGAAGCAAAAATAAATAGGATTGAAGAACACGCCCCCCAAACCAACATAGATAATGATAAAGAAATAAATATCTCAGTATCTTACTGCAAGCAGTGTCTGCACATAGTGTTCATCTGGAATACAATTGTGCTGCTTCTGAAGTTTCTGCACTTGCACCAAAACCATAGCAAGAAATTATCAGAATGAGAAGAAAAAAAAAAACTATATCATAAAATGAGTACCAAGTAGCATCACAATCACTGTAAACATCATTAGGGTCTCAGCGTAATTCATAAAATTCTATTGTTAGAAACAAAACAAAAAAGACTCGACCTCTTTTCTATGGGGTTGAACAGTAACCCATCAGAACATACTTTGCAAACAGATGTAGATAAAAGGCAAAATAACAGGGGAGCAAAGGGAGAAAATTTAAATAGCAATTCCCCACAATGCTTGAATAATCACTAATCAAAATTCAAATCCGACAGCTAGATCTTTAACAATTATTACTTGATAAAACCACATGCTACTAGAAAAGGGTAAACAGGAACCTTTGAACTCCAAGTACTAATATTCCGATATATGTTTTTTATTCTTTTGAAACATAGTATTTCAGAAGAATTCCACTAACTAGAAAATTACAGATACATCCTCCCTCCATATCAAGGTTTTGAAGACCATAGCAACCACTGAACTTGAACCAATAAAGGGAAGTTTCCCCAGTTTACTATTTCCAAAGCCAGTTTTCAGTATTACTATTGTGGTTCTTACTAGTCTGAAAGCTTGACAGGCCAGTGATCTACTTTTCGATTCAAAAGGTCAGACCAGCCAGTCCAGTTTTCAGAATCAGAACTACGTTATTACTATAAGACATTCTACATGGCTATACACAAACTAATGTTCAAGATAGAAACTTCACATAGCTCGGGGTATACATTTATTATACACTACACAGTCAGCCAGATTGCATGCCCCAAGTTCCAAAATAAAAATGATTTTGAGCTCTCAATTCAAAGCTTTTTTCTAATGTTACATCAGCATTAAACCCACTTTTGCTTGACCATGATCACAGCGATTCTAGAAGCCAGTTACAATTATTTGGAACTATCAGCACAATCAACATAACTTCAAAGTACCAAAACTGCCTTGAATAATTTCCAATCGAAAGCAAAGAATTTATGGCACTAATAATATTATGCATAACAGATTAGGACAACATGGTAGCTACAAGTAACACAAAAGTAGAAAACTAAAATTAGAAGACTTACCAGATTCAGCTTTCCCTTTCTAGTATCAATTGGTGGACGTCTCTGTCAAATGAGAAGAAAATTAGACAGGTTTTTTTATTTATTATTAACACATTACAGTCTTACAATTGGTATTTAGTACAGTCTTGTATAGTATTTATGCTAAAAAGCATACAATTTTGAATTCTATGACAAGTCTCATATAAATATAATACTAACTTTTAATAAATCAATACAGGAGTATCAGAATCCACATGGAATTGTAGTTAAACTAACTTGTGATCAATTACATACCTTACAATATTTCTTAAAGACAGAAAAGATAACATCATCATCTACAATCACTTCTGCATGCTTACGAACTACGGTGATCCACTAGAAATTCAAAATAAATTCAAATTAAGACATAATTTCAAGAAACAAATGTTAAAAATTTTATCCAATAACCTCAATGTAACAAATAAGGTCCATTTGATATCAAAAGCAACTCAGCTAAGCTTTGATTAAACTCCCAAATTAGAAATTGCGCCCATAACATGACAAGTGGAGCTTCTTGACTTTATTAGAAGGCACTTAGAAGAGTCAAATTTGTGGAGCAACATTGGTTGTAGTTTTCAATCAGAGTATCAGACAACCAAAAAACCAAGGTTTCCTCTAACTAATTTGAAAATGGAAGGCATATCTTGCCTCTATATTTTAAACCATTAATCAACCTATAGTAAACAGCTTAAAACTAACTCTACCTGAAAAGCAAAGTGAAATGGAACATTGGGCACAGTTTTGCAACCCTTACTGGTTTAGAAATTTTTAAAATAAATCAGTCATATGAATTCAGGTTGATTTGTAACTAGTTTGAATTTATTCTTAGTCTGGTTGGAATTTGTCATCAGCTCCAAAATTTTGTAACCATGACCAGATTTAAATATAAAGGAAACAGAGAAACTTATAATTCAAATATTAAGAGAAAGTAAAGAGATAATGCTAAAAACAAAAAAGAAAATAGGGAAAAACAAAAGAGCATCATTAATACAAATGGAATACACTAAACCAATGCTATATATCGGTTTTTCCCGAACTGCATTTAACCGAGTTCAATTAGAACTAGTTAAAGCTTTTGGTACTTTCTACTAACACTCAAAATTTATAAAAAAAAATAGTTCCATTGTATCTAGTTCTCTAGCTTTTAGAGTTTGGCTAGCCAAAACAATGCTTCTCCTTTAGCAAGCAAGTATCAGCTAAAATTATGTGTTTACAAGAAAAGGCTACATCTAACCAGTAGGTTCTGAAAGATTTCAGTAAGTATCAACTAAGCGTTGGTCAACAGAATAAAACAAACAAGTATGATTGGAAATAACAATATTGAGGAATGACAAAGAAAAGAAAAATAACCTGGGACCCTTTACGCCATTTTTCCCTTGGTATCTTAGGGGACATTTTTGGGTTGTAGCGGCCCTCCTTTGCATCAAGAAAACTGCAGCAAAAACAAACTAGTTTAATCCACCTTTGAAGCATATTCTTTTCAAAAAGATGAATAAGAAAATGCAAGTTTGAACCGATTACAATTTGATCATTCAAAAAAGAATTAGTGCTAACTGCTAAGCACCTCAAGAATAATAGCCTTCTTCTACCTGTCCACGAAACTCCTAGGAGAAACCATGACATAATTGTACACGTAGGAAAAGTTGTACAAAGGAACACAGCTGCACATGGAAAACACACTCAGATTCTTACCAATGAACAAGTAAGTTTGCACAAACATATGCCAAGTCCCCACCCACCCCTGCCCTCAAAAAAAAGAAAAGAATAAATCAAAGAAAGAGAAACAAAGAGAACAACTCCCAGGGGAAACTTGTGTTATACAAGACTCGAAAACACCAACCTATCCGAGAGAAGAACAAATCTTTGATTTGCAGGGTCCTCTAAAGCTGCTGCCAGTAACAATCTTTCAGCCTGAATCATACTTGACTCTCCCCATAAAACCTAAAATATGCAACACTGAACTCACATAAGCAAGGAATACAACGACACGTTGAAATGCAGAACAAAGCACAGACAGCAGTGTTACATTTATATGCTCAAGCACAGTTGCATGCACATATCGTTATAACTGCACAAATCCTTGGAAAATAAAAGTGCAAAAAATAAATCGATTATAAAAGAATAATAAAATAAAATACTTGGAATTCATTGTTATAAGTTTTTTGCATTCGGAGATTGTTAATTGTTGTCAATTTCTCCATCATACAAGCAATATATCATTTAAGTTAAAAAGAATTCCCCCCTTGATAGAGAAGAGAGTATAGAAGTGCATCTCCATTATGGAAAGAAAAAAGGTCACCTGAATGCTATTAGTGATTTGTCGACCGTAGAAGAAGTGGGACTTGGTGGTTGACTCATGAAACACAAACCCGGGCGCGGAGTGAACGTAAATCGAGAATCTGGAAACGTGGGCGTTCTGCAAAAACAGAAAGCGGCGAAGGAATTGAGTTGAGATGTTGGAGAAAATTGAGAATAGCTGGAAACGGAAGGAGAGTGGGTAACCTGGAAGAAAGCGTCCCAGAGGAAATCGAGAGGGAGGTTGCGGCGAACGAGGAAGAGGAAAGCGATCTTGGGAGGGCCATCGAAGAAGAGGCGTGAACGAGAAACTTGAATTGGGGGTTTGGGAGAGTGGAATCTGAAGAGAGAAGCGAGGAGCAAAACGACGACGCAGGAGAGGGAAGCCGAGAAGAGGATCAGCATTTTCCTACTCATGGCGTGGCGTCTCTTGGGCACGCCTCTGGACGCCATTCCTCCCTCCCTAGCTCAGCTATAATAATAATAATACAATCAAGTTATAAGAGATGGTGCAGTGCAGAATGCAGATGCAGGAACTGTTATGAATAATAATTAAATTGGTTGTTTCCATTTTCACGGGGACAGGTGGTGGAAAACGTCACACGCTGCTTCGAAAACGTCAATACGTCGTCGTCGTTACCAGGCTTTTGACCTGTCCTGCTCCTGGGTCCCACATCACTAACACTAACACTAACCGCCACCTCCCCCGCCCCCGCCCCCGCCCCCGCCGGCTCCTATGCTCTTCGCTCACCAAACCTTTTTCTTTTTCACATTCAATTTCGATTTTCTTCTTCTGCAAGGATCGTTGCACACCTCAACACCTAATCAAATTTTCACCCTAACCATATTTTTTCACTTCAACTCATAATATTTCTTAACTATAAATAAATACGGATTATGAGTATTATTTCTCTTTACAAATATTGTTGCAATTAATCCCAACACAATCTTCATCTATGCTACATTAAGTAATTACTAGTTAATTGAATGTTTAACAAAGTTAATAGATTGTATTAATCGAGACTCCTCTTCCGCAACATGAATCAAGGTTCCAATTTTCATTAAAAAAAATATGTTCATGTTTAGTATTTGGTCACTTCTCTAATATAATTGTATTCAAAATAATTTAAAATAAATTGATTTCTTAACCATGTTTATTTTATGCAAAAAACAAACTAGTTAATTGAACTTTTAAATAATTATTCGTGCATTATTGATTACTTTAAATATAAATATTTTAAAATTATAATAAGGGTTTGTATAATTAGTTCTTCTTTTTTTTTTGAGGGGGTATAATTAGTTCGTATAAAAGCTTTAAAATGTGCTTTTTTTTTTTTTAAATTACTAGAAATTGAAAAAGAAAATAAAGTTAATTACTTTTTTTATATATTTCAAGTCATATAAAAGTTTCTTCAAAAGTCATCATCTTTCCCTTTTCTTTTCGATTTAGAAAGAAAGACATTTTGATGCAGGAGTGTATGACTAACAAACATTCTTTTTTCTTTCATATTTTAGGCTCTACAAACAAACGAAAAATTATTTTTTTTAAAATGTGTAGCTTTATTTTCTTCTTTAATTTTTCCTCTTCTTTTCATCTATACCAATCTTGGAGTATACAAAAAATTTATACCCATTGTAAGATTGGTGTTGAACAACAAGAAGTTACTTTTTACATAATTTTAAAATTATTTTTTAAGGGAGTTTTTTTTTTAATAATAGAGAAGCTTTTTTATATTCAAGAATCATAATTCTTAAAAATTATAAATTCAAGAAATCATGATTATTAAAAATAGTAAAAATTTATTTAGTTATTTATAAATACTCTTGAGAATATTCTTATAAAATTATCAAAAATTAAAGATTTTTATATTTGATTATAATAGTATATTCTTACATATATAATATTTTTTACAAAAAATATTCTTTATTAATAAAATCATTATATATATATTCAAATTTTATTATAAATATGATATTAAACTATTTTAAAAAATTAAAATCTTATAATTAAAATTTTTTAAATATAGAATTCAACAAAAGAAAGAAACAAAGAAAAATATTATATAATAAATAAGAAGGATAAAAATGTATTATTTTATTTTATTCAAACTATAAATAAATAAATAAACAAAGTGTTAACAAATATCATTGAACTATAAAAACATAACAAACTTTAATAGTATTATTAAAATTGACAAGATCAAAAAATAATGAAATATCACAAAGAGAAAAATAGAGATATGAGAGAGAGTAAGAAAAGGAGAGTGAGAGTGACAAAAATAGAAGGAGAAAGAGAGAGGAAGAGGGACACAGGGAGAAAGAGACATAGAAAGAGAGAGAGAGTAAAAGGAGAGAGAAAGAGAAAGATTTTCTATTTTAAATAGGATATTTTTGTTGAAAAAATAGAATAAAAATGATTATTAGGAAAATATATTTCTAGGACTTTTTTTAAAATAGTTAAGAAACTAAAACTCTTCATTTAAGATTATCATAAAAATAAAAATATTTCGCGTACCAAAAGTCTTCTAAACTATTTTTTTATATTTTATTAAATGACAAAGTTTTAAACTTTGGTTTTTTTAAATATTTTATTTATTTTTCATCTTTTAAAATTTTGAAATAATTATTTTTTTCTCTAAAAATGAGAAAATTTTCATTTTTATTTATTTAAATCATTTTTATTTATTTTCATGTCTCAAAATTTTGAAATCACTACTTTTAATCTCTTGATTTCATTTTTATACGGATAAATAATGTTTATTTTAGGATATGAAAAATATAAGAAGAAAAAAAACAAAGTTACTAAATTGAATGGTTTGATATTTATGCTCGTTAACCAATAATCACAATTTAATTTATGATTTGGATATGAAGTCACAATTTAAAATACTACTTTATCTTTATAAAGATCAACCAATTCGATAGAAAGGAGTTATATCTCCCTATGTGAAAAAATAAAAAATTCATATGCTAACATGTACATTAGTGTAACATTTGAAATAGTTACTTTTGTCCTTTATTTTTTTAATTATTCATCTAATCTTTTGTTAAAACTCAACATTAATGAGTATGACATATATAATATAGAGACCAAAAATCATAATTTTAGTATTTTTGAAGGATAAAAATAAAAAAAGAAATGAAAAAATTAAAAATAAAATAAATTTATTTTATAAAAACTAAAAATATATTTAAATATAAAATTATCTTTTTACTTTAAATAAATAAGATTTTTAAAATTATCTTTAAAGACTAAAATAAGTTGCTTCAAATGTCATTTCCAATCCCTTAAATAACGTTTAAAGTTTACGTATTGTAAATAGAAAAAAGTTGTTAAAATGAAAAACTTTATTAAAAATGATCGGTTAAATTATTCAATAAAAATTAGTATGAATATTTCATTAAAGTAAATCATTTAAAAAATTGTTATTAATATACCTTTTACATATTATTATATACTTTTTGACCTTCTCTCGAAATTTGAATTATTATTAGAATATATAAATTTTTGTCTCTTTCGATATAACTTTTATACACAAACAATTATTCGCAGTGTATTATCTACTTTTCTTTCTACCTTTGTATTGTGTTTTTTTTAGTATTCAATAATAGTAATAAAATTCAAGGCACCGTGCATTCTTTTTTTTTTTTTTTTTTTAATATGATTCACGTAGTATTTTAAAGAATAACGTGATTTCCGTTGGTCAATGAGTTGTATTCTCATATATTAAATTTATATAAAATGTCTTGGATATAAATTTAATTTAAATAATTTATTAATCTAAATTAAATTCAAGTGCAGATGAAATCTTAGTCTTTTGTCTCCAAATATAAACATGTGGGACATTATAGATATTGAATTAATTGACATTTTCAAACATATAAAATCCTATTTGACCCTTGATCCCAAAGAGAAAAAAGTCCATCCGTACCTAAACGATAAAATCGTTTAAATAATTTTCCATTGCTTATAAAAGTAAATAATTGTTGATTTTTATTCTTACTTGTTGCCCGTTTTTTATAGTATATGTAACACTCTTCTCGTTGTAGTAGGTCGTGGAGCTTCGATATACTCATTAAAATTAGTACTTTCGCTTGGTCATATTCTAAACCCAACTTGACACTTACGTTGCGACTGAAATTAAATAAGAATGAGTAAAGAACAGAAAGTTTATTGCCATATTCTTAATGTTGATTACGTCGCATATATAGTTAGTCTTTGCAAGTAATTAACCAAGTAAGCAACCATTACTAATGTGTGTCATTTTGACACCCCCAAAGGGAACTAGCCAATGGAAATTAAGTGATTGCTGAAGTGGGAAAGGACAGCAGGGAAAGA